AATATATCAGTTCTTGAAAGCCAATGCTGTGATAGAACTTATGCTGTGAATCTGTCAGCTGAGCTTACTGCTTGCTGGAAAATTAGATACTGAGATTTCAACAGGGCTTCCAGCTAAGCTCCTATGCACCTAAGTAAACCGTAAAACGTTTCAGAAACTATGACTAAGAAAACTGAAATAAAGTAGGTAAAAGCTCCATCCAGACAAGCTTCATCTGTACCATCAAGGACATCCAAACAATCTAATTTCAATTGTATTTCAACCTCTCACCCAGTTTTGGAGAACAGAGAACATTTCTTCCACCCCCATCCTTTGCAAACTTTCCGTGCTTCTTCTATTTAAATGAAAAAAAGAAGAATGTACAACATTTTGTCAGACCAGTCACAATGTTCCAGCCTCAGGAATTTGTTGTCATATAAGGTTACCTCAGTTGTAGTGCAGTACCCAAGTATTTTTTACCCTTTGCTAACACATAGGAAATGGATTAGAGAAGGAAGTGAAAGACAGCATGTCCCTCTGCTAAACATCATAAAAATAGTATACTGCCAAATAATCCTTGCAAAAATATATTAAACAGCTAGATTATTGACTCTTCTACTCTTCCTTGACTGCACCAGTTTTGTGGATGAGTGGGATTTTAAGTAGTTTAGCCTTTCCAAACAGTTTGCTCTGGAGAGAGCATTCTGCACTCACCCACACATTCTGAGGGCTGCGTGGACTGTCCTCACCAGTTTCCAAGGGACATTATGCATCCTGTTGCTCTAGAAGGATTTGGGGAAGGAATTCTTGTCCTTGGGCACAGGAAAACTTTGCTCTTAAAACTAGCAGGGACAAAAAGACATCTCAGAGTTTTGGGCACACTCCTCACAGGATGATAAGGCAGCTTCGTAGAAAAACCAATTAAATTGTTCAGATTAGCCCATTACCTAAAGCTTACAAAAAACTCCACTGTGGAGTTGGGGTGTTTTTAAGAAATGGATATATATGTACTATCTCCCAACAACAGATAGAAAACTTTATTACAAGTCCAAACATCATAAAAACAGTGATCTGCTACAGAAGCAGCAGTGCTGGTCCTGACTAGAAGTGGCAAGCTGCTGTTCCTGAGCAACACCCTGCTGGGGGTAGTTTTAGCTGATGTAAAATGTGCCAGATAACTTGATTTCTGTTATTGCTTTTCTCTAATATGAAAACTAAAGCAATTCAAAATCAAATTAAGTCCTTTCTTCCAGATCTGCTAAATAAATGTAATGAGTTGAATTCCTGCAGATAGGTTTGCTCCCCAGAGAGAACAGCATGTGTGCTTGCTTCTTCTGAATGTTAAGTTATTTGATGAGCACTACTAAACCTGTTAGTTATACAGATTCACAATGTATTTTCCCATAAAGCATTAATCCAAGATAAAAGAGGAAATTAAGCAAGATCCCTGTAAGAATGTGCAGCAATCACCCACAGAAACAGACACTGCCTATGGTCAGAAATCTGGTAAATCTACCAGGCTTTACATAAATCTCACAAATCAGTGTCTCTCACCTAGATTTGCACACATTACACTGTGGCTGAGGCAGATGTGCAGGCACTGGCAGTAGCTCTGGTCCCAGGTATCAGCACAGCTGGTCTTCTGACTACAAACACTCAAGGCTTTGAAGAGAGAAAGCAAGTGTTTTCATATATCTGAAAAATTGTGCCAGAATTCAAAATTCAGCCATTTCTTTCCTTCTATCACAAGCCCAAACACTGTCATTGACCAGCATTATTTGAGAAAACCATTAACTTTGTTTTCTCTGATTAGCTATTTCCATTATTAAATTGTCATCTTCAGTAATAAATTGCTAAAGCTGTGAATTCAGATGGACACTCATTAGCAAAGGTGTTTAACTTAGCTCCTTATTCTCTCATGTTTGTAAAAAAAGTGAAAATACAGAAATAAAACCTTTTAATCCAAAAGTATTGCCCATTTAAGGCATTATGAGACAGTTCTAGTCACACAGTTTACCATATTGAGTAGAAATTAACTGATTAGCATCTCCCTAGAAACTTTGGAGAATTAAGATACATAATCTTCTGACATAACAGTTTTCTTCCCAGGTGGAAGATGCTCTGTGATTCACAGACTGGCAACACAGCTGCTTTTTGTCCTGTTCTGTGACCTGTCTGGGATATAAAGTAGCTGTTAGAGCAACAGGAACAGCTGCACTACGTCTGAATGCTCCCACCATGAACTCCAAAGCTATCTGACAGTTATGTAGTAGAAAAAGCACAGAACATAAAAATGTTTGGCACAGAGCAAGTCAATCAGCCAGAGAGCAGGTTGGATGCCATTCCTTACAATTGTGAAATCATCTGCAAGCAGATATTCCAGCATCTCCAATTGCTCCTGCAACAGCTCTTTGGAATTTTTAAACTAAACTTGTTTTATTTGACATTTGGAGGCCAAAGGCAAACAGTTGATATTGCAGGGTCTTTGTGAAAATTAGCTGGTGGTCAAATCCAGGAGTCACTAAATTGCAGCTCTGTCATGAGCAAACCTCTACAGCTCTACCTGCCCCTATGAGGAGAAGCGGAAGAGCTGCCCTGCCAAGTGGGAGAATTGCAATCATTTTCTTTCATATTTTATATAACGCAGTCCAAACCTTTTCCTTTGGTTTGGTGATAGGACACCGAAGACCCATCCTCATATACTGAGGGAGAACACTGGAATATTCTCTATTTTATGCATGACTTTGCCTAGCAGAACCTTTTATGGGGGGGAAAAAAACAACAAACAAACCTGAAGTACATTAGTTTTTAAGGCTCAGATTTCTGAGTATTTACAGTTAATTCCTTTGTTTGTAATGGTGATGGTTCCTTTATGAGCCCAATGTAGGGGGGGCACCACCCAGCAGTTGTGAGATCACAGCATCCTGCCAGGCAAGCAGAAAAAAACCTCATGTTTTATAACTGAAGAAGTGGTAAAATATCCCAAGAGCATGAAACCAGATTTTTGGGCTTAATCTCCCTTTCATGGCTACTCTTACACCTTCAACCTCTAAAAGTCCCTCCAATGCAGAGAAATCCCAAAATATCGCCTGCTGAGTGCGGCAGCGGCTGGGCACAAGGACAGCATGCTCTGTGGCTGCCCAAACCAAGATAAAATCTTCATTTAAATGTGCACTACTACTCTGGAAACAGGGTCTTAAGGCTGCCAGTGCTAGTAGTGCTCCATCAATCACTGATATCACTGTGGGCTTATTCGATAAAAATATATCTTAAAGAACAAACCAACCCTTCTCCCCTTTGATTGTTTACCCAGATGAAATATTACTCACTACAATATTAAGTATGCTGTGGTAATGAGGACAGGATCACATACACACGAAAAGATGATATGGTATTAAAAGAAACCCTAGGCCTTTCTTGCATCCTGAAGGAAAGAGGGATAGAAGAGGATTTTAATTATTAACTTGGATTAGCTATCACAGTACCTGAGAAACTGCCATACGGAACATATTCCAGTATAGTTCATACTCTTAATGGCCTCGAGCCTTCCAAGAAAAAAATTCTGTGTTACATAAACTGATATCAAAGTGGCCTTGCTTTTCCTTTCCCTAGAGCTACAAATATATGAGCTATGCAAGAGCCATTAATGTGCAGTTAATGTGTCCAGTAAAATTTGTAGTGAAACATACTGTGGTTACTTGCAATAAGCATTTGGATGGAATAAAATTATATTAGTGAGAGACTTGAAGAAACTCCCACTATGTTACCCTTCCACTTTAATTTCTTCTCAACAAAGTTCCTTGCTATGATTACGGCTGTGCTTCAGACCAGAGTGTGAAGGATGTAAGGCATGAAGAACTATGTGCTATTAATTATCAGCCCTTTAATTATACAACTCAAGCATCCCTAAAAAAAATCAACTAGTAATATCCATGAAAAGATATCATAGACACCTCCTTTATATTTTGCACAGATAGAAGAAATAAGAATCAGAACCAATGAAAGCAGCATGAACACCAGTGGCATTACCTTACAGTCTCTTTGAGCCTGTATCAAGTTTCCATCACTATTTTTCAGATTTGCATTTTGTACCGGAGACACAATTTTTGGTGCTTGTAGACATACTTTCCTTCTGCAGAGATGTTACAAGTAATGGTACATATTTATATGAGAGCACCAGGATTAAAATAACAGAAACTGATTGGCTGTTTCTCCAAAAGCAGTGTGTATAGGCAAACCCAGGCAGGGTTTCCAGAAATGCTTGTGAAAGCTTGAAGATCAGTGTCCTTTGATTCTGAGAGACAGGTTTGAGGAGAAGAAAGAGAAATGAGAGCACAAGTGAAATGATTTTTCAGGCTGTGGCCTGGCTTTAGGAGATCTACTTTCAAATCTTCTTCCATATTACTCAGTAAAACAAGCAAGGACCTATCACAGGCACAGAAAGAGCAGGTATACAGTCACCCATGCAATTTTGGTTAGTAGAAGTACATGGTGGATAAAATGGATCCAAACTCCAGCTGCTGTGCTCTGAGCTAGTGAATGTGCAGAGAGCCATAGGGAACAGTGTGGCTCTGTGCCTTTCAGTCAGTTATAGTGCTAACAAATGCAAGAGCTCATTGTTTCTTCGACCTCTTTTTGCTTACAAAAGGACAACATTCCTCGCTATTTTTCTCTGCAAAGCAAGTAAGGGCATTTCAGAAAAGAGCAGCTGAAATGGGTGTTGCAGAATATGCAAATGTCATGATAAGATTGACTCTAAGAAAAGCATGTTGTATACCAAATGCATCCTGTATGAGGCCAATATTATCCTTTGAATGATGGGGTACTGTAATTCATAGATAGGCTGAGTGTTCCACGTTTCTTTCTGGATAATCACAATCTGAGGGAAAGTTAGGATGTAAAATAGTAGTAATCCTCAAAGGTTCACACACATATATATGAGCACAGTAAGACACAATTGCAAACAAATCCCAAATGGAATAGCACCAGCCTGGCTTTTATCATTTTCAGAGAGCTCTTACCTCTCCATAAACCAGGTGCTTCTCAGGGCTCTCCACCCCCTCTTCCTAAGAAAGCATCTGAATCAGTTCCACCTACACTGGAAGGAGTGAAAATAAGGGGAATCAGATGTTATCTTGGAGTTTGAATAAATACAAACATAATTTCTGTCAGATTTGGCTTTTCTGTTACTTGGGTATTTTAAACAGCTGTTTATTTGAACACAGTTGTGCAAGTTTTTTTACAGCTTGTAAATTTAGACTTGAGACTACAGGGCATGCGGTTCCCTTCAGACATAACTAGCTTAAAATAACAAAGCCCAAAAATTCCTTCTTAAGAAGCTCAAGGCCATTTGTTTAAAGTCTGAAAAGGGTCAGGATCCTGTAATTCCAGGCATTGTTATGAAATGGGTGAAAAGTTTCCTTTATATTACCTGGCTGGGTGCACTCTGCAGCTGTATCCCACTGCAGAACCACTAAAAAAATCAGCTTGTCGTGTGTATGGTGGTTGCAGAGAAGACTCTTGCTATGAACATATTACAGCTACATGTAGCACACCTTAGAGGAGGGGTGACTGAAGGAAAGGTAGTAACTGAAACATGTTGGCTTTAAAAAAAGAAAAAAGACAAACCAACCACCAAACAAGTGAGCAGCAGGATATCTTTCACAGTTTCATAGCCTGGTGCTGTCACAGTTTATGGATGTGTCAAAACTGGAAAAAAATAAAATTTGACTCATCTTTAGCACAGTAAGGAGAAAAACACCACAGACATGATAGTGACAAAACAAAACTTTTCTGAGAAGATCAAAACGTAGTCCCTGAAGGGTTTTGCTGTAGTTGAAGTTTGAGAACAGCTATATACATGGTGTATATCAGTCAGCAATGGACTAGAAGGGCCAACTGCCAAGAGACACAGAAAGAAAACAACAGAAACAGAAGAGATACATTCAGGAATAGGAGATGCAAGTTTTTTGTTGTAACAAAGAGTAACTTCATACTATGTAGCTGGTAGAACAATGTCAGTCTTTGAGATGCTTTGATTTAGTAAACAGTTCTTTGCTAGGCAAGCTACATTTTTGGGTACTGAAGGCAAGTGTGGGCAGGCACTAAGAGAAAGAGGGACAGGGATGTGTTAAGTGCTGCTCCCTTGCCTGGGAGAATAACCTCAGCTTGAAGATAGCGAGTGGCAGAGTAAAGAACAAGTACTTTGGAGAAGTCACATAAGCAAAGCACCAAAAGGCATTTGTTTCAACTTACTGTTTCCCTTTAATGGCTGTAGGCTGAATGTATGATTTCCATTCAGTCTCTCATGCTATTTTTACCCCCATGTATGGACATGACATCTCTCCTCTTCAACTCAGGCCTTTGGAGTTTTTCCCAGCACTGTGAAGGAACAGAGAATATTACACTTTTTATATTTAGCTACTGTAGTTTCAAGTTAAACATGTCTGATTTTCAATAATGGATACTTTGAACCCACAGCAGGCTGCTTACAAATTACTTTGGTTAAATGGAAAACTAGCAAACACTATTACTACTACAAAGGGCATATTTGTCTCTCCCTGTTATGACTAACAGATTGTCAGAGGAACAGAAAACATGAGAATTTAATGCTGTAGTTTACACAGAATATTTAAAATATTTGCTTTTTGAAGAGTGAACCTGTGGTTTGACAATGCAAAGAAGGGAATTTCAGTTGAGTTGTAGCTTCTAATTGAAAGAAGAGACACAGCTTATAGACAGCTCCAATTACAATGAAGTATTGATAAAGAGGAGGTGTAATATTATTTGCAGGCACAAACTCATCACTCAGGAATGCCAAGTTGCAATGTTTATCTACAAAACACCAAGAATGCTCTTCCATTGTATAGCCAGTAACTACATTATCTTGCAAATCACATCTCCAGGGCCTACTGTATTACTGCCTTAACCCATCTCACAATTTATTTGAGCATTATGTTAAAACCCGTTATATACTGCTGAGGCTTGTAGGATGCCTGCTCCATTTGATGGTATAGGTGGTGTTCAGTCACAGGAATGGAATTTGCAAGCCTGAACTGAATGCTTACATCCTCTGTGCACTGAAAGGCTTCAATGCCTGTGGTTACCATGCACAACGCCCACATGTAAAAATGCCTGAAAAGCTTCTCCGGATTTTAACACCATCTAAAATACCAAATCATAGACCAAATCTGCTTTGGAGTGAAATGCCTACATCATTCTTCAGGGAAGAACAAGTTTGCCCCGATACCACAATAGCAACACAGGGCACAAGACAGGGACTCTTGAGTCTGCTTTGTACAGATACTGGGATGGCCCTCTGCTTTCCCAGCATCCAGACAAAATGTAGAAGCAGCTTCTTCCTGAGCAACCAGAAACAAAACCTTTATGTGCCCCCAGAAGAAATGTCTCTTATGGTGAGACCACAGTGCCAGGCTCTCCTGGCACTGTGCATATCTTCTTGGTACCCCACGGCTTCATGGTCTTCACAGAGAAGGGTGAAGGGGTCCCTTTAGCAGAAGAGCTGCAGAGTTCCAAGGTTTCCTGTCTGGAGAAAACATGACCTGCAGTTCCTTTTGTCTGCAAATGTGCTGAGCTCATTTCTCACATCCCACTTTATCTCCAGGTTTTTCAATAATGATACTTCCCTCTGCAACCTTCTGTACTTTTCAATGACAGTGGGTATGAAAGTTCTGTGCTTTTTGCTGACCTTCTTTTAATCACCGAATCTTACTCATGCTCACATGACATTTCACAAATCAGCCTCACAGGCAGGCTCTGCAAGAGGGATCCCAGGTGACAAAGTGGCTTATTTATAAATGCAGGGGCTCTGACTAGGCTGAGTGCAACTCTCAGAGCCTACATAGCTTGTCTGGCAAGAACACAGGTACCCATGGATGTCCAGGTGTTTAAGTGCCAGAGCTCTTGCGATCTGATCTTAGATGCAGGTGAATAGGTTCTCCCTTAATTTGCACTTTAGTTCTCTAGATCCCTTTTAGAATCTGGTGTGACATTCTGTAACACAAACTGTCATACTAATTCTCCAGATCGTTCAGGATAAAGTTTGCTGAAAGTCAAGTCATCTTGTTCTAAGGGTAATTGTTACAGATGACTGTACATCACAAAAAGACAGATACTGTTCAGTCGGGAATCCTAGCCTCTCCAAAAGGCATGAAGGGACATGGAGAGGTAGAGGTTGGCATGTTTTCCACTAGGCCAAGCAAAAGAGATTGCTAAAACAGATTGTAAACCTTTTCAAACTAAATGCTTCCAATGGAAACTTCTTTTGCCATCAATGCTGAAAAATCCAGGTAGCAGCAGAACCCAGAGACATGCCACAAGCCAGCAGGCAAAGTAAGCCTCTCCTGCTCTCCAGGTAGGCAGCCCCAGGGACACAAGCACCCACAGGGGATGATGGCTCCCTCTGAAGCTGTGGCTGTATGGTCTGTGCCCCTGTACTGAGTGAGAGCAGCCCAGTGACAGCCCCCACTCCAGGGCATTGGGCATCTCGATGAGGATGAGGCAGGTCTGAGCTGAATAAGAGGAGAGGGAAGAAGGTTTCTTGCTCAGTACACAAAAGCAGACTTCTCATTCCTTAGTACCAGCTGACACCAAGACTGTTGGAGGAGCAGAAGTTCCACATTAAGCTGAGAAATGAGCACCTTAAGGAAGTTTGTTCCACTGTTCATCCTTGAGGCCATAGTAAAGACTCACAGAGCAGAAGTACCTTAAGCAGCAAGCTGATAGACTGAAAGTGGGAAGGTGAGAAGACTGAGATGGAAACAAGCAGTTGGGAATAAAAGGAGGCATAAATGACTGACAAAAGTGATGACTCTGATTTAGGAGACACAAATACCTCAGTTACAAAGTGGAAAATAAAAAGCACACCACATTAGAAAAGGTTAATCAAACATCCATCATTCATTCAATTAAACATTCTTAACTCAAAGCTAATCATAATTCTTAGCTTGTTAGTCTTACGAGTTAAAAATTCCAGATTTCCCTGCCCACATTCTTTTGTTAGAAATAGGTCAACAACAATACAGCAGGATCACTGGCATCAGGGAGAAAAATCACAAAGTGTAACCACAGCACTCAGACAACATGAGCAGATAATTATTCACAGTACCTGGCAGCCAGCTTGGAATGGGTTTATTATTAGTCTATTAAGCCTTTCTTTTTTAACAGCAATCTTCACTTAAACATGTATCTTCCCTTCTTGTCGTCATGAAAACCTAATTCCCTTTCCTGAAGGTATAAAGTCGTTGACAGAACAAAAGGTATTCTCTTTTAATGTTCAACATGTTTGAACATCAGCTGTTGCCTAATGGTACTCTCCATCCATTTGTGGAGCTGAGCTTGTTCCAGTGCTGTCAGGGGTAACTTAGTTACCAGAACATCGACTTCCTAAACCTTTCAGGAGAACAGGAGGATGCTGAGGCTGTAAGCACAACACTGCATTCTCAAAGAAAACTGTCTGTTTCTTGGCAACTGGATAAACAGTCTCTCTCAATTAACATAGTCTAGTCCACATCTGTTGTTAAAACATTAGCAGAAATATTTGAGCCCTTTCAGATTGTTGATAATGAAATTACACAGACAAGATATTAGATTGTTCATTTGGAAGCTGGTTTAATTAATAGCCTGCACATTTTATTTGTACCCTTTCTAAAGTCCATGATTCATGTTTCATTTCCTCTCTCTTCTGTAGCATCTCTTGCTGTGGAGTTATGAAAAAGAAAGAAGAAAAACACTTATTTTTTTTCCCAATTAATTCAAGGCAGAGTATTAGAACATCTGTTGAAATATACCTACTTGCTTAAGTGTTCAATAAAAGTCACATGCAGCAAAAGAATTAGGAAGGCCACTTGACAGTCTTGTGTTCAAGGCTCGTTCTGGCCAGAGCATTGTTTTGCCTTCAGTGCCTATAGTTTTATATATATATATAGTTTTTGTTTTTCACAGAGAGGGAGTATTACTCTGTTCCTTGTGCTTTTTCCCCCTTGTGAAATGCTAACATTTGCTGTTAGATTCCTGCCTTAGAGCTCACAGGCAACTCTCTCCATTTTATGGTTTAAATCTCAAAGGTGGTGGGAGTTTTGCCTTTCAGGCAAAGTTCAAAAGTTGGTAAATGTCCCTGATGAACTTGTAAACACATTTCTCCAACTAAAAGGAACTGTCAGAGATTTCTAGAAACAAGAGGGATGCACTGTCCTCAGTCTACTTGATGGCTTTTTTCTACTCTAAAGCTTCTTTTCCTGCTGCAATTTTCATACGCTAATTCCATTTTTAAATTCTTACTACACAGGGCAGTCACTTTGTTTGAGACAAAGTAAATATAATTCACAATAAAGTCAGAAAACTGTTTGAAGTAAATAGCATTAAAAAAAATCATACCTTGGGCCCAGGAGCTCCAAATTTCCACTAGAAAAGAAACCTTCACCCAGAGTCTATTCTTGGCTCCTCACAGAGCACCACAGACACTATTATTGACCTGGCCTATCCATGAACCTCCTGATATTTTTAGTATGCCATCAAGTAAAAAAGTATTTCCTACCTTAAGAATAACTATTACTTCCTACGCTGCCTCTTTTTGGAGTGAAAGCTACAGAAAACTTTTATTACAAATGATAGCTTTTTCCAGGACTGCATTTGATGAAGCCACTTTCTTTTCCTATTGATCAATATTACATACTTATATTTTGTTGAATGACAAACAAAAGCCTAGGGGAAATTAAACACTGAAATCTGCAGACACTCTGGAGCAATATTTGTTTAACAGCTGCCGAACTCTGGAAGTAACAGCAAAGAGTATTATGTAAGAAAATCCTGTAACCCAAACAGATAATATTCTGGTTAACATCACATTGAGGCTCTACTTGCTTAAAGCATCAGTTATTATAAGAAAACAATATTCAGCTGAGGATCCACAGTGCGGAACTATTTGTTCAGTCCAGAAACGTAACAACCCAGAAATGTTCAATCAATCAAATTCAGGTAAATATAATTGCCATTTCTTTAAAAGGAAACAAATATATAATACAACAGATTACTTGGTCTTGCTTCATCTTTGGAAAAAATATTACTGGAGTGATAGATTGTACATTAGACTGTTGCAGCCTTCAGAGTTAAAATTGAATCCATAAAAATAAATCTGGAGCCATCCAAGGCTGTAAAAGCAGACCTGGACAAAGAGTTGACAGAAACAAATGAACTAATTGGACTTATGTTTCTTAGCAGAATGTACCAGATTTCATGCCATGATTGTTTTATGATAGTAAATGGAAAACAAACTGTTATTGTTTAATCTTGGTAAATAAAAGATATTTTTATGAGCATTGATCCAGAAGAAAGCTGACAGTTTGCCAAATAGGTATGTTTTTCCAGTGCTACCAGACATTTTTAACTGAAATCTGAAGCTGGCCAGCAGATTAACATAGCATTAAGTGATCTCATAAATTGCATATTTGTTTGGCTGTTACCAGAGATACTTTAAAAGTAACAATGAAAAATTATTATTTCAAGAGAGGCCATACAACTTTTATCAAATTAGTAATACTACTTATTCATTCCAGAGAGATGAGATTTTAAATAATTATCCAAATAATTCATTTAAGTCAGTGGTTATTAAGTTCTGCACAAATTTCTTCAGAGGACTTCTAGAGACCATCTTGTAGGCAATCGATTAGGAAGTGGTACACCTGGTAAAAGTATGTAATTTTCTGAATAAAAGAGTGTAATGTTCATTTGCAACAGTTAAAAGTTCCTATAAAAAAAGTTGGGATAGCTCCCTCATCTAGTTTTATAGAGTTTCACTTAAGTACAACCAACTGGAAAGTTTGAATTCAAGAGATTCAATCATAAATGTGCAACCTATGAAGAGAACTCCTTGTCTTCTGCTCAAACAGACCACAAAATAGTACTAGTGAGGAAAACAGAGCTTATTCAATTGAACCAAGAGTCACTTTTCCATCAGCTTTGTCAGAGCTATTGCATATGACAATAACACCTTTTTATCTCATCCATTAGTTTATTTTACTGGGATTAAACACAGTTCTATGCTGCTGTAAAAAAAAAAAAGAAAGAAAAAATCAAAGATATTTTTCTGGTACGTTTTTCTTTCCAGCAGAAACTTAGTTAAGGAGATCTGTTTATTTAAGAATTCCCTGACTGTCAATATTCATCTCACTCCAACTCCTTGACACTTTCTGGCCATAGGAAAAAAGATAGCTTTTCCCCTTTGTGCTGTTCTCAGTGGACATCTTCCCTCAGGATGAGTTCTACCTCTCCCACATCACGTCATCCGCATGTAGCCACAGATACGTGCTGTGTAGCCAGACATGGGGCCAAACACAAGGTTTTGGCTTTGCCAGTGTCGGATCACAGGCACAAGTGAACATCCAGCCCAGGGGAGAGCAAGATGGGATAGCAAGGGAGAAAGAAGAGCATTTGGCAGTTTCTCCTCCTGTTATACCAGAGCACTTTTGTAGAAGCACCAATGCTCCACTCCAGACAAGATTTTTTTTTTTTTTTTCCATTTAGCAACAGCTAAGTTGCCTTTTAACTACAGACATCAGTGCATAGGATGAGGACAGGAATATAGAGCTGACCATTCATGGAAGGTAAGGCCAGTGAAAAAGATGATAAAATACATACAGTGCCGGCTGCCAGTATTGAGGTTGAGCAAGAAGTAAAAAACCCTCTAAAGAGAAGGACAAAGAATGTCTGTTTTAATGACCTTAAAGGTCCCTTAGGTTGTCTCTGCATCACAGCACAGGAAATAAGGTCAGGACTGGGACTGCTAATTTCCCATTTGCTTTTAAGCTTCAAGGATATGACATTAATTCTGATGCTCAAAACACCAAAGCAGCAAGAAACATGAGCAAACACTAGAGGAGAGACAGGCAAAACAACTAACCATAAGCATCTTCCCCCTCCTTTTTTTTTTTAACCTGTTAGTACAGGTGGTTTTTTAACACATCCTCTGCCTCTGACACATTAGGTATTTCCATCCTTTCAGTTCCGTTAATGTCTCAATAATGGAATTTGCCCAGCCATTGCTTAACTGTACTGCACCATCTTTTTTAATTTTTAGCTTCTACCATGTTCCCCTTTCAAAGGCTGTTCTTCCCATAGTACCAAATAGGGTCACCTGGAGGAATCCCTGTCTATCCAGAAGCTCAGCAGCACAGGATCCAGTTTTCTGCAACCTTTTAGGGAGCATTCACAAATTACATAGGAAGTCAAAATGTCCTGATGCTGTGGCTCTGGCACAATTCCTCTCTCCCCAGACAGCACTGCCATCTTTGAAATGGATATCCACAGATCTAGTATTTTCAGATCTTTATTTCTCTGAGAGCCACAGTGCTCTCTGCTCACTCACCACAGCTGAGGACCAGCTACCACAAGTGGGCTACAGCATGTGGGATCCACTACTGTACCCCTGGCAGGCTGCTCAGTTTGGAAGAGCTCTTGCTCTCTGCTTACCTCCGTGGTTTTCCTCCTTTGTGATTCACTGCTTAGACACAGCTGCAAAGGGCATTAGTGGGAGAGATCCAGATGAAGAACTTAGCTTTGTTTTTGTGACACTGGAGTTTCCAGTTAAGTTTATTTAGGGTAATAACACAGCCTCTAATGAAGGTAATGCCTCAGTCACTGCCATATCAGTGCTACAGATGCAGTGAAAAGCTAATACACTCAGTGTGTTATGAAAGGCAATTTGAATTTCTGATGTATTTTTGCACAACCACATTGTGCAAAATGCTTTTACACACAGACACCTCCAGAGAGAGGGCTAATTTTACACTGTCTTTGTTATTTGTGCGGGTGGCCTGCCACGATTCTTGGAATAAGTGGTGCAAACTGGCTCACAATTGCATTTCATGTGGGTCCTGGTTTCTGACGCACATTATCCTAACTGTCCACACTTGGAAGCAGAGCAGAAAAACCTGTTCCCTGCCTACAGAGAGGTCTGGTTAATTTGCTCCAGAGCATATCATGGGTGTAAACCAATACATATGCAGTGGAAATAATTCAAAGGGACTTGAATCCCTGCATGAGAGGGACATGCCAAAGAATTAAAGAAGTTAACCCCATTTTCTTTAGATTCTTCTGGTTAATGTAACAGCTTAGAGACAGCAGCTTCACGGGTAGTGTAATAGGAACAACTTGGTCTAACACCTGATTAAAATAAACTTTTTAACTCTGGATAATTTCTCAATGAAGCCAGATTGCCCTTTTGAACAGCGAAAATCTTGCTAAGCTCATAC